GGTGTGAGTAGACACTTCCCCACAGACGACACACACATCGTCAAGAAGCACGTAGTAGAACGTGAATAGGGTGTGAGTAGACACTTCCCCACAGATGACACACAAATCGTCAAGAAGCACGTAGTAGAATGTGAATAGGGTGTGAGTAGACACTTCCCCACAGATGACACACAAATCGTCAAGAAGCATGTAGAAAGAAGCTCCATACCATCCCCAGTCAAGGAAATGCAAATCAAAACTACAATGAGATATCCACTAAGATGACTACAATCGAAAAGACAGATAATAAGTGCTATCCAGGATATTAAAAAATTAGAACTCTCTTATACTGCTGGTGGTTATATAAAATCGTACTTTGAAAAACAGTCTGGCATTTCCTCAAACTTTTGAACACAGAGCTACCACATGACCTAACAATTCTCCTGGGTACATACCCAAGAGAAATGAAAACACATGTCCATGAAGAAGTTACAAGCGAATGTTCATAATACACAGTATTCGTAACAGCTCAAGGTGCTATTATGGCAGAGAACCCTGACGCCTACCAACTGATGAATGGACACCTAACAAGTGACAGATCCATACAAGGGATGTTACTTGGCCATAAAAAGGAAGAAAGTGCTGCTATGTGCTGCAGCATGAATAAACCTTGAAAACGTTCACCTAAGGGAAAGCAGTCTGTCACCAAAGCCCACGTATTATATGAATCCCTTTGTATGAAGTGTTCAGAACTGATAAATCTATAGAGACAGAAGGTACGTCAGTGGTTGCCTGTGTTTCCTGCGGGAAACCGTTTGGAGGAAGATGAGGAGTGACTACTCAAAGGTACAGGGATTTCTTTTTAGAGTAATAAAAGTACTCTGAAATTGACTATAGTGATGTTTACACGGCTCTGAATACATAATTTAAATAAGTGAATTAGATGGCATTATGAATTATCACCTCAATAAAGCTACTAAAAGTCTACCTGCTAAAAGAAATTCCTAGTAATGCAATTAACATAGGCAGCCCGTGTCAGCGAATAACAAAATACACATGATACCACTATATGTTTTAGCAAAGCACCTTTGTAACTAAAAAATTGTTTTATCAAAATGATTTCCTAAACGAAACCATCAATAATTTAGTTCTAACCATAATAGAATAATTAATTCTATTCTGAGAATAAACTTATTTCCAGATTTGCAAATCCTACACCTTGAGGTGTGACTTTCCTTAAATGTATACTTTTCCCCAACTGAAAGGAACTATTGATCTATACAGTACAATTCAAATGGCTCTTAATGTACATAGTTACCATTCAATAAAAAAAAAAAAAAGATATTCTTACATGAAAAAAAAAAACAAAAAAACAAATGGCTCAGAGAACAAAGAGCTGAAATAAGGAAAGAAGACCAAACTTACATCGGGCTCTAGGGTCACACAACGCTGAAACGCCTTTGCTGAACCTCCATAGTCTTCCAGGGCCAAATAGGCACAGCCCAGAGAAAACCACACCCCGAGCTGCAAAGACCAAAAGTCAACGTCACTTAATCATATAAATATATTCATGGGATGTAATCTGAAAAATTATTTAAGATACTATCAACAAACACACTAGCATAAAAAATTCAGAGCTAGACAATAAATGCTGTACAGTCTGAATGTAGGAAATTTAGCAATGGAGATTCTTATTTTCTATATGATTTTCAAAGCTAGCAATGAAAGCATATGCAGTGTCACTGCTTATCTTTTGCTGAGAAAGATCATGCTTTGTCTTAACCAAACTTCTTAAATGCAATAGACAACTCTGTATATAAACCTTTATACTCTAGTTTGATATAATAAACCTGGGATTAATCAAACACCCTTACTATCTACTATGTATTATAAAAAGTAAGTTAAAAAAAAAAAAGTAGTTGGCCTTCCACATCTGTGGGTTCTGCAGCCGCAAATCAAAATATTCAAGATAAGAAAATAGATGGTTGCCTCTCTACTGAACGTGGACAACACAGTATTAACACCTACATAGCATTTCCAAAGTTTGGGTAACATAAGTGATCCAGAGATGAGGGAGAGCACACAGAAGGATGGACATCGGTTATACGCAAATGCTGCACCATTTTATACAAGGGACCTGAGCATCTGTGGATTTTGGTATCTGAGAGGGCTTCTGGAAGCAATCTCTCATGACTACTGCGGGATGACCATGTACAATGTATCAGCAGATTCACAACTGATGAACGTATTGTAATCTTAAAAGGACAAATTTCTGCTTTTATCTTCAAATTGGACCGCAAGTCCTCCTGCAGTTTAACCAAGAGCCAAACCAACTAAGCATGTATCTGCTTAGGCAAGCCTGAAAATAGATTAGAGAAAGGAGGCTCAGACCGCGGGATTACCAAACAGTCATTCAAAATGTAAAGCTTGACTTGAGTCGGTAAGATCTGTAAACACTGAGATTTAGAAAACAGATAACATAGCAAGTATTCACACTGCAAAAAAATTCTCTACATCACAAGGCTTCCTTAAAATTTGATAGCCCCTGCCAAAAGAGAGAAAAAATGATAAAAATTTCAATGAAATTAGTCAGAAATGCAGCCATTATGAGTTATTTTCCTTCCAGACATTGTCAGTAAAGCCACTGTACAAGTAGACTGAAGTCTACTTTCTTACTGACTTCCAGTACAAAGGCAGCAAGCCAGCTGATAAGATTTAGTTGAACACTTAAGGGTGGGGGAAAAAATAAGGTGCTCTGTTATCTCTCCATAGCCCTCCACAGACAGAGGAGGAGGCTGCCTCCACATCCCTGCTCCCGCAGCCATTCCCACAAAACTGGTTCCATATGGCCAGCTGAGGCCTGAAAGTTCTTTAAGCAGATAAAGATTTTTAGCAATTATAGATAAGGTTTAAAAAGCAAACATCCTTGGGCGATTTAACACTTTGCCATGAATTCACAAGAGGCTATAAATAACTGCTATCAGACACCTTTATGGAGAACAGATTTTGTTAGCGGGATGGGTAATGCCTGAAGAGAGGGTGGCTGGCTGGTGGCTGGTGGCTGGGGGCTGGGGGCAGGGAGAGAGGCAGAGATTGAAACTAAGTTAGAAGTTCACTCTTCTGAATCATGGGACTTTCGGCAACTTAAAACTGAGCTCAGTACTTTGCTTTCATCTGGTTATTTATAGCATCAAATGAAAAGTGCTTCAATGCACCAAACCATACTCACTCAACATGACACATTCTGACAAGTCTTAAAGTCTGATGCTAGCATATGAAACAATGTATCTATCTCAAGCAAGCTAACTTCCAACCAAGCAGAAAGTTCCAAACTCTGCCTATCACATTTCATCAATTCTAAGCTACATTTTTTCAACATTTAACATCTCAGAAATAGAGATGCATCTTAAAATCCAACAGCTTGTCAGAGTTTTATTGTCAACATTTTTTTTCTACATGCAGTGAGACTTTAAAGGTGCCTTTTACAATTGATGGGATCTTAGATACAATGAATTTAATATTAGTAAGTTTTCTTGGAATGAGGAATAGCTGATCTGAGACTAAATCAAGAACAATGAGAACTGCCTTCAAGGTTCTCTAAATGCACGTGCCCTGCTTGGCTTCTGCATCAGCAAAGAACAAGTACTGTTTCCTATATATTGTTATAAAAATGCTAAGTATCAATTCAAGATCTAAATTAAAAACTTCATTTTCCAATCCACCTGAATAGATTTACAAAGACTATGAACGTCCAAAATTAGCCATTACCTTATATCTCTAAAACAAGCTGGTAATGAGATTGGCATTTTTTTCAGTTTTTAAAACCACTTAATGTTTTATAACCAATGTCTTAAAACCAAAATGAATTTAATGAAAATCAGATGACTTAAATTAATATAAAGTATAATAGTTCCTTTTATTTTTGCTCTTGGTTATTTTTGCAGTGTTTTAATAACTTGCATTTGAAGAAAACTCCTAAAATCATTAACTGCTAGATTTTATCTATTGATAACATAATTATAATGAGAGATGACCTTCCGCACACACCCAATCTTTGAAATCAGGCAACGATTCTTTAAAAAACAAAACAAAACAAACAAACAAACAAATAAACCCCCCAGAGAACCCTCTGGGATACTACTGGCCTGTGGCTGCCCCACTAAACCACTCACACTCACTTCCCAACTGAGGTCCCCCAAATTTGGGAAACTAAAGAGAAGATTTGGCGTCTCCTTTACTTTTTTTTTTTTTTACACTATTAAACTACTATTACTAATAATGATTGGCATGTTGGCTCAGATGGTCATACTTTTTAAAGAACAGACATAGTGAAAGAAAACAAAATCAAAACAATCCCCCAAACCCTCACATGCGTGATCCCCCAGAATAGTTATATGTGGATATGCTTGAATTTCAACATCTTAGCACTCTGGTCCTGTGCTATCAGACAGAATACAATGCCAGGAGCAACAATCCCCCCAGATCCTCACATGCGTGATTCCCCAGAATAGTTATATGTGGATATGCTTAAATTTCAACATCTTAGCACTCTGGTCCAAGACAGAATACAACGCCAGGAGCAACAATCCCCCAAATCCTCACATGCATGATCCCCCAGAATAGTTATATGTGTATATGCTTGAATTTCAGCATCTTAGCACTCTGGCCCAGCGCTATCAGACAGAATACAACGCCAGGAGCCTCACTGTATTTTCTAGTAGCCACATTTTAAAAAGTAAAAAGAAATGGGTAAAATTTATTTTAGTAACATTGTAATTAACTCTACATATCCAACATGTGGTTATTTCAACATGTTATTAACATATAAAATTATTGAGATATTTTACATTCATTTTTTCCACACAAACTCCTTGAAATCTTATGTGAATTCAACACTCACGGCATGTCTCAATTCTGACTGGCCATATATGTTTCTGATTGCCACACGCAGCTAGTGGTCACTGCATTTGTACAATACCACATTATTTCTCCGGAACCCGGCCACAGACCTGGAATACCCTGCATCCTCCACTTCTTTCTCCAGTACAAATGAGCTCCTCTGGTTGAGACCCTCCCTCAGCCTCTGTCACACTTGTATACTGTAGTTACTTACTTCTGTTCTCTCTTTATAACATCAGCCAAAATAATTAACTTCTTAATGAGCATCTGCTATGTGTACCAAGCACCAATACCATGAATTTTCCACACATTACCTCATGCCTTCCTCACATCCACCTTGCAAGGCAGTTAATATTACCCTCGTAAGAAAGATGACAATGAGTCAGTCTGGGACAGAGGAGGGACTGGACCCAGTCACTGTGACTCCAAAGCTCACACTGTCTTCACTAGCTGCACTGCCTCTCACTACACCATCCTGCCTACACACACACCATCCTTGCCACTGATAGAGAGGGAAAACAGGTAGCTAGTGGGTGCTGGGAAAATCCAGGAGACCAGTTTCTTTTAAGAGCCAGAAGCATATCTCTTTCCCACCCCCACCCTGCCTAAAGGCCTGCTTGACTGGGCAAGGGTGGACAGACGCAGGTAAAGAACAGACAGCTGTGTCTAGTTGGAGGCAGAGCTAAAAAGAAACTTCAAAGGTACTGGCCAAGGATGGAGCAAGATAACCCTCTGATAGGCTCTGGTTAAGATTTCTGTAGAGCTTATTTTCCAGGCAAATCGTGAAGGCAAGCTGGTTATAGGTAGGTAATGACCTTGAGAAACTGGCAGTCTAGCCTTTATCTCTGGGAAGCCAATATAGAAACACAAAAGCAGGCCAACCACTTATTCTGAATGTGAAAACACCATCTCTGTGCTCAAAGGATGGTTTTAAATTACAGTAGGACATCCCTACATTGACCAGCTCCTTAAGTTGATCCAATTTTCATAGACCAGACATGCACCACATGTAGGTATCAGCACAGTAGGCCTAGTTCCTTACATTGACCACCTCTGTACGTGAACCAGTTTGTTACAGTCTTTAGAGTGATCAACTTTTAGAGGTTTTACTATATTTTTAAAATAGTTAACACAGAACCTGAACAGTTCAGAGCATGGTCTCTCTGAATTTCCCTCATAAAGTCCTCTAGGCTGTAACGGAGGGAAAGATAGATAACTAGGATTCAAGAGGTCCTGAGTAACTGTATGTCCTTGGCTGTGTCACTTAATCTCTGAGTCTCAGTTCCCCAAGTGCTAAATGTGCAGGGATAAACTAGCCACCCCAGATTCTGAAAACCCAAAAGTGACAGGGTTCAAAGGTGCACTAGTGCCATCTAGTGGCAGATAAGTACATTAAACTACAAATAGAACACAGATGTTTCTCTGCACAGATGCTCCGTAGACCTATGTTCCAATAAACACACTGTAAATCGAAAATATTTTAAGTTGAAAATGCAACGGATACGCCTAACCTAAGTAACCACATAGTGTATTCTAGCCTACCTTACCTGTGCTTAACACTCACACTAGCCTACAACTGGGCAAAATCATCTAACATAAAGCCTATTTTATAAAAAAAAGTTGAG